GCTGTAGTCTCATGGGTGCAAGTTCAGTCTTTGTCCCAGTTGGTGATGTACCGGTTCCTTCCTGGTTCCTCCATAGCTTGTGTGTGTGTATGTTGTAGGTCCATTTGTCCAAGTTCAGTCTTTCCTCACTTGGGGACGTGGCGGTGCTTTCCTAGTTGCTCCATAGCTCATATGCGTGTGTGTTGTAGTCTTGGTGCAAGTTGAGTCTTTTTCTCACTTGGTGATGTACCGGTTTCTTCCTAGTTGCTTGATAGCTCACATGTGTGTATGCTGCACTCTCACATGTGCAAGTTCAGTACTTCCTCACTTGGTGATGTGGCGATGCCTTTCTAGTTGCTCCATAGGTCATGCATGTGTGTTGTAGTCTCATTGGTGCAAGTTCAGTCTTTCTCTCACTTGGTGATGTGTCGGTTTCTTCCTAGTTGCTCCACAGCTCATGTATGTGTGTGTTGTAGCCTCACGGGTGCAAGTTCAGTTTTTCTCCCACTTGGTGATGTACCGATTCCTTCCTAGTTGCTCCATAGCTTGTGTGTGTGTATGTTGTAGGTCCATTTGTCCAAGTTCAGTCTTTCCCTCACCTGGGGATGTGGCAGTGCTTTCCTAGTCGCTCCATAGCTCATATGTGTATCTTGTAGTCTCATTGCTGCAAGTTCAGTCTTTCTCTCGCTTAGTGATGTACCGGTCCCTTCCTAGTTGCTCCATAGCTCACATGTGTGTATGCTGCACTCTCACATGTGCAAGTTAAGTCCTTCCTCACTTGGTGATGTGGCGGTGCCTTTCTAGTTGCTCTATAGCTCATGTATATGTATGTTGTAGTCTCATTGGTGCAAGTGCAGTCTTTCTCTCACTTGGTGATGTACCGGTGTCAGGCGGCCGCAGACGGTTGGCCACCCGACATACGAGGTATTCGTCTCTCAACCGAACGTCCGGTTAGGATTTGTTGGGTACTCTTGTCGGGACCGTCGAGGAAAATTAGGGGTCGGAAAAAGGGCCCTAAAATTCCCTCGATCGATTATGAAAACTGACCCTTGAAATTAACAAAATGAACAGCCACGCCCGCCGCCCCTAACACCTACCGTTTTCATTCGTTCCAAGGTTGTTCCCAATGCGGCCGACCATGGAACCGGGATACGGTGCTAGGCCGTGGCGCGCTCCTTTCACACTGGACAATTGACGAGGGAAATGGGCCAGCAATTTTCGCCGATTTAATAACCAAATCAAAATTGAGAAAAAGAATTAAAAATAATAAAAGGGAAGAAAATAACGGAATATTTGTTACTTGATTAAATTTTATCGGAAGTTATCCTTGGTAAAATTATCCTTTATTTTTATTAATTTCAATATCAAAATTAATAGTGCATAAAAGAATTAAAATAAATAAATAAATGATTAATTATTATTTGATTAATTTTAACGGAATTTACTCCTGATCTTGGGAATTATTTAATTATCCGGAGTCCGTTGATCCGTGCGAGTTCCGATGGCTATGAACCCACGCTTGATTTTGCCTCTGTATGACCCCGATGTTATTGAGTGAGCCGGGTTGTATTCTGCTGGATTCTTATTGTCTTTGATTATATTGACGGTGAGATCAAACAGACCGGTTTACGGTTCACAGCAGCCGGTCAGATTGGTGTAGTTACTGGTCCAGCGTTGACGAGATTCATGGTGGTATGGTAGTCACGCTGGTTGGCACGACAATTGGTCCGCGGTTCGGTACTTTTGCTTGGTACGGTCACTGACTTAGCATTTACATAGTATTGGAACAGTGTATTGCAACCTGATCTCATTATTCTGGTTGATCACTGGTCCAAAGCTGGTACGCCACACTTGTTGCTCGGTATGGTATTCAACATTGGATTGATGCGGTTACAGGGCTGGTACTTGCACGACACACGTTTTGTCTGCTTCGGTATTCGGCCTGGGTGGGGATTCCCGCTGCCTACTCTTGCTGATGGTATTATTATGATATGATCGTGACTTTGCGGCATCTGCTGGTTTGGTACGGGGACGGTTCACATCGGGTTGGATATCATTATTGCTTGGTTCGACATTGAGGCCTGACGCGATGATGTTGATGAGGCCTACTCTCATTCAGGTACGGCCACTGGTCCAACTCAGGTACGGTACAGGATTCGTTGGATACGAATGTCGCGGCTCATCTGTGTAATACGGATTGCTAGCAGACCACTGTAGGCTACAAGAATTGGTCCGGACGCGTTATACCTTGCTGGAATTACCGGTGCATTCCCTGTTGGTATCGCTGGGCCTACATGGGTCCCAGTCCACTGGGCCATCACTATACTGGACCTGTGAGCCCGGGTTTTGCTGCTACCTTCGGTCCGCTGAGGCCTACGACCAGTGCGGCAGTCCGCATATAGCCAGAGCAGATTGGAGTTTTGAAGCAAGCATTTTCTCGCACGTGCTAGGCGTACGCAGCCCACTACCAATGTTACTGGACAGCGAGAGGGAAGAAGCTCGGTTCTCGCATCAGAAGGGAGATACGATTCTAGTCCCGGAGAATGCATGCGAGGTGTACGCGACCATTGATCAACGTTCGGAGCGGCAGACATGGGGTAGAGCGGAAGGCAGAGGAACGAAGGGAAATCAAGAGAGGAGATCCTAGCTCGGTTCACGCATCAGAAGGGAGGTGCGATTCTAGTCCGGGGGAATGCGTGCTAGGTGTACGTGGACATTGATCAACGTTCGGAGCGGTAGACGTGGGGTGGAGCGGAAGGCAGAGGAACGAATGGAAGCCAAGAGAGGAGATCCTGGTGCGCGCTTCGGTTGGCGTACGCATCTTGGGAACAACAAAATAGTGCAGAACTGAGGGGGGGGGTGATGGGAGCGAACGAGGACGCATGAGGGGACGAGATTGAGAGAGAAAGAGGGAGAGGGTACATGTGTGCCTAACCCAAGTGTGCCTAACCGTGAGAGGGTGAAGCGAGAAGGGCGGTTAGAGACGCCCTATACGAATGAAGGGGGAAATGAATACAGTATGTATGCGGTCCTAAGCAAGGCAACTCTTCCAAGTTCGAGTGCGAGAGATTACACAGGCGTGAAGTTCAAATACGTACAGTGATATAAAGCCGGGTGAAGGGCACAAATCTACTCGTTGCTCCGAAATTGATTAACTTGGCCGAGAACGCAGCCAAGTTCATTCGTATTTGAGCCAGCCTGTTCGCCTCCTGACAACGGGAAGTTGAGAATAACGTTCTCTGCGCAGTCAAAATGGTGTTCCCTCAAAAGTTTGCCTGCAACGTCGCTCTACTCGGAGTGTCGGTGATCTAGCAGAAAGGCCATCTCGATTGGGTGGGTAAGTCGTCACGGAAGGTAAGGATTGACGCTGCTCATCCTCTTATCTTTCTAGTCAGCAACCTCCCCTGTTTCGACGTGAGAGTAATTGGAATTAGTGCGCGTCTTCAATCGCCTACACATGCGCACAGTCTTGGGCTCGAGCTTGGGGGTTTGAACGAGTGTGTCTGTAAGCGTAAGTGAGGGAGGGAAAAGAGCAAAGACAGATAAGGTAACGAAAGGAGAGAGGAAGCCCAATACACGCAGGGACGAGACGGGAACTTTCAATCACGTGTGGGGAATCCCCGTGGAGACTGGTTTATCATAGTCCTAGCTCTCAAGAATGTGTCCTCTCTCGACCACGAACTGTTCGATCTTGATTGGGGGGGAAAAAGTCAAACAGTCGTGAATGCGCAATGGTAACGGTTGATGCTGAAATGATATGAGCTTACCCTTGTGCGTTCCCTTCGAAAGGCTTGAGGTTATCAACGATGGTCTGTGTGTCCGAAATTGGATTCAACCCGTGTTTCGCGTTGAAAAATTGAATGCACGTTGAATTCGCGTTGAATCCCCGTTCGAACACGCGTTAGACGCGAATGAACGGGGCCCGCGAACCGCATTCGCGCGTTTGGGAGGGGGGTAGGGGTTTTTTGAAGGTGTGGGGTGGTAGTGTCCGTTGTCGGGTACCACCCCATGCATTCATTTTTATTTTATTTTATTTTATTTTTACTAAAAAAAAAATTAAAAGAACGCGCGTGAACCCGTTTGCATCGTGCAGGGCGTTCGCGGGGTGCCGGCCTTCGGCGGCCTGCTAGGGGGGTGGCGCAGGGGAAACGGTCCGAACGGGTACAAAAAAAGTCGTTGCGTTCGGCCGCAACTCATTTGCCGTGCGAGCCATAACGCTCCAACACGACAAACGGGTTCCCCCTGCGTCGAACGCAGCGGACGAGAGAGAGAGAGAGAGAGAGAGGGGGGGGGGGGGGCTGCCGCAGGAGAGAGAGGGAGCAGGGAGCGTCGCAGGGAGCGTGGAGCGGAGCGGAGCGGCGCTGGTGCTGCGACGAAGCTAGAGCAGCAGCGTAGCACGTTCAACGACGGTGGCGAATCGACATGCGCGGCCCCGATTGACGCCGTTGAATTTTTAATTCAACGACGTTAAACGCGATTGCACGCGTTTGAACACGTTTGAAGGGCGTTCAACGCGATTGAACGTGTGGGGCCGGCGGGCGTTTGCCGGGGTTCAGCGGCGTGCGC